TCCCCATTCTTAGTCTTCTACTGATTTCCTGACTGCAGTCCTCATTTCTATCAATGTTTGATCCCAGGGATGGGAATTCTTTTACTATTTCTGTTTCTTCACTGTCTAGGTTGAACTTAAGAAGGTCCTAAATAAATATTTTAAAAACCATTATACAATCGGTCCTCTGTATCCATGGATTCTTTATCCACAGATTCAAGCTTCCACAGCCTGAAAATATTAAAAATATATATACATTCTGAAAAACAACATAAGGGGCACCATTTTCCTATGGCATTGTATTTAATGGGACTTGAGCATCCATGGATTTTGGTCTCCACAGAGGGATCTGGGACCATCAGATAAGTTCATGATACCTTGGAGTGTGGTGGAGTCTCCTTCTTTGGAGGCCTTTAAACAGAGGCTAGATGGCCATCTCTTGGGGATGCTTTGATAGTATCTTCTTGCATGGCAAAATGGGTTGGACTGGATGACCCTTGGGGTTTCTTCCATCTCTAGGATTCTATTATTTTAAATACAAAGGGGCTTTAGAAGGCAAACCCAGCTTGCAATAGGAGACTAATTTTCTCCAGTCTATGCCTGTTCCAAGCACAACTCGGGGATTTCCTCTTCTTTTCCACTTTTATCTCCTCTTCCATATGTCTTTGTATCTCAGCTACAGTCCACACCCTTCCCAAGCTAAGATACCAGGCACGACTCAATTGGCCATTCTTTGGGAATGACTCAAAACAGCCATAGCATGGCTGGGGGAGAGGATGGGGACCTACCAAGGTGCCTTTGGAGATCTTTTGCCTGGCTTGCTAAGAGTTGAGAAGAGCCAGGAGCTGATCCCATTTGGCCGGGGAAGGGAATGTATCCATGAATTGTGAGCGATGATGAGTTCCCTCTGGTCTTCAGGCAATGTGATGGGTAATTTGTCATATATTTGGACACAGAGTCTGACTTATCCCAAGAGCCCTATGAATTTGGCTTCAAAATGCAGTGGAATAATCATCATCTTTGCTCAGAGATAAAACTTACAGCTGCTATTGCTGCTGCTATTATTATTATTATTATTATTATTATTATTATTTATTCTCCTCACCTTTTGGAGAGACAGCATGGTATAGTGGTTTGAGTGCTGTCTCTGGAGAGTAGGGTTCAAATCCTGGCTCGGCCATGAAAACCCACTGGGTGACCTTGGGCAAGTTACATCCTCTCAGCCTCAGATGATGGCAATGGTAACCCCCTTCTGAAGAAACTGGCCTGTGATAGGTTTGCCTTAGGGTTGAAAAGTGTTTTCTCTAGGAATCTCTAGTTCCTCCAGCATGTATCTGTGGTCAACTTCTGACAGTTGCACTGGAGAACCTTGAGATTTGTAGAGAGGACATATTAATCTAATATGTTGATAATCATATCTTCAGATGTCAAAGCCACAAATATGAGGGACAACTGTATTTAAACAATCTGAACCCATTGTTGTTGC